TCATTATCAATAGCATGGAGATATTGTACAAATTGTGTCAGAAGGATAGCAATGAGGATCACATTAACAAGTGTTTGAGTTTACAATTTTATGAAACAATTTGCCAATTTCTAAGCCTCAATGATATCATGCTGCTGATATTTACCCTGGAAGCTATCTTCGCTCTTACTTCAATGGGTAATCGATCCTGTCATCTTATAATGCAAGTGCGAGGCATAGTTGACCAATTAGTCTCCTTGATAACAGTCGAAGCACAGTCATACGGGCCGGACGGTTGTATTCTAATGAGAGTTGTGGAAACAGTGCCGGGCAATATGTTGCCAATGGTTGCTCAAAATATTGCGAATTTGCAAAATGCTGCAGTAATACAGAAACCACCAACACATGTGCTCACTCTGCCAATGCAGTTGCCAGCACCTCAACCGCCAGTTCCGATTCCCGTAATGTTGCCTCAGATAAATTCCTCGATAATACCCCATCCGCAGTTACCGACTGTGCCACTGCCCTCTGATTCTACAGATTCTGTTCCAAATCTACAACAGCAAACACCTATCATTGACCAGACAATTAGTACACATTCACAAACAACAGCACCGCAGCAACAACCCACAACAGCGCAACAACAAACACCAACGGCAACACATCATCAACCAAATCCGCCGCAAAACTTCACTCCCGAAGACGAACAATATGCATTGACCTGGCTAGGAGCTACGGTCGAACGTACGCCAACTGCAGAGAGTCATGTTGAGCAACAGGAGCTATATCGCATGTACTTAGCACACTGTCAAAAGTACGGCAAGCATTCCGTGGTGAATAATGTACAATTTCCACGACTTGTGCGTTTGATTTACAGCAGCGGCGTGGGTCCTGTCTCTGTGCGTCTCAACGATGGCACCGATTTGGCAGGTCTTTACTATGTCGGCATACGTTTACGCACACAGTCTTTACCAATACAAACCACCAAAACACTGCTAACCCAGCCAAAGCTACAGGAAGGTAAATTGCCTACAAAGCCAGCTGCAAATGATAGTTCAGTCTTTGCTGCAGCTTCTGGTCGAAAACTGAAAAAGAAGCCGAAATCGCAGCAAGACGCAGACGTAACATCTGGAGAAGCATCAAACGGCACTTCAGTTTCCACCACAGTGACAACAGCTACTCAAGAGTCAGATAACACTAATCAAAATGTGAAAGATGAAGTGCCATCAATAGCTACAACTACATCAAGCAATTCAACAGTTGGCGGCAATCCTGTATTACTAGTTCAATCTGGAAGCACATCCTCTGCGCATTCTTTAGCTTTGCAACAACCCGCAGATACATCTGCTCAACCGTCTACATCTCTAATTAAAAGTTTATTAGCCAACAAAGTGACCCAGCGTCAGCAAAAAAATCAAAAGGAATTGAATACAAATACCACAGCCCCACAGCAGGCACAGTCAAGCACATCGACAAATGTTTCAGCAATCGCGCATGCGCAGCAGCCTATAAAAGTCGCTAGCACCGCTATAAGTGCTTTGGTAAATAATCCGCTAATGCAAAATACCCCTGTAAAGGTTGGACAAACCACAATAAAACCATTAAACGCACAAATTCCACTGGAAAAGAAGACAATATTAGAGTCTACACCCCCGCCATTGGCACCGCTCAGCGGTAATAACGTCGCCAAGGATTCTAGTGGGCGTCCAGTGATAATTACTAATCAAACAACAACCGCTATCGTCAAGCGCAAATTAGAAGATAGCTCGGAGCCTGCAAAACGCATGGCTTTAAATCCGTTGAGTAGCAAAGAGGAAGATCAAGTAACTCCATCGAAGAATGCAGCAAATTTATATGCCGAGATGGCTGCGTCCATACTGGAAGATGAGGATCTCGAAGATATACCACCGCTACCGACGGTATCAACAGCACCATCGACATCTACCCCCGCAGCACAGTCAACATTGACTGAACCAATACAGCAGCAACAGCCTCAGCAAATTCTTATACCAGCTAAAATTCAACAGGCCACCGTACAGGGCGTACAACGACAGCTCCTTTTCCAGACGAATCAGCCACCTCAACTAAAACTTACTACACATAGTGGGGTTGCGTCGCCAGCAACGCAGCTGCCGACAGCCATGGCTACCATAAAAACCGATCAGGGTTTGCAAACCGTACCGGTAATTCTACAGCAGAAGGCGCTTGAACAACCGCAACAGCAACAACTTATACAACAAGTTATCACACAAAATGTACCACAGTCAGCGCCGCAACAGCAGCCAACTCAATATGTACTAGCCACAAATCAACAGGGTCAGACCTATCTTGTGGCACAGCAGCCGCAACCACCCCAACCTCCCCCACAGCAAACAGTTTTGGTCACACAAACGCCGCAACAGCAATCGGCCGGTACTAAAACAATTATTATTTTACAACAACAATCGCTGCCGGGTCAACAATCACATCAACCACAGCCGCAGCTGATTGCTGGCGCACCACAAAAAATGATAATGACAACTTCTCAGGGACAGCAAGTGCTCGTAACACAGCGTCCACAACCTGCTCTGCCCGCGCCTACAACACAGCAATACTTCATAAATCCACAAACGGGCACTGCCACACATATTCAACATGTACCGGTTTCTAGCAGTGGCATCTCTACCAGCGTATCGGGCAACAACCAACTACTGCAGCGGCATCAAATATTATCTACGCAGTCAACTAATAATTCTACCACGCAGTCGACCACGGGACAGATTTCGCCGTCATTGCTGTCGCAACTCAACCACATCCCAGCTACCATAAAGCTTCATCAACCGCAAATGCCTGCAACGACAGTACAATCATCGGCACATCAGCACCAAACGGCGACAATTTCACGTTTGGGCAAGACGGTTTCTATTGTGCAGGCAACACCGGCTTTGGCACCGCCACCGCCTCCCATTCAAATACCACAACTGCAACAACATCAATCGATTATACAACAACACATCATATCGGGGCCATCTGAGAAACGGCAGATGATACTTGGGGGAAGAGCTATCGAAATAAAGGAGACGGTGATTACACAAGCACCACCGCCAGCACAGCAAAGTCAATTAAACTCCCAAACCATTATAACCAAACAAGTATTACCGCAGCAACAACAACAGCAACAGTCACAACAAATGCGCGCTGTCATAGAGCAACAACATCCCTCGATTATACAACAGAAATTCACCTTGCAACAGCAACCACAAAAGGTAAGTAAAACTTTTAAATGTAATATTTAATTTGTGTACAGAAAATAATATAGCGATGCCAGGGTATAAATGTAGAAATAAAGATAAGAACAACCACCCCAATGACAATGCATTGTTCCAGTTGTCTACTACCATACAGCATGCATGCAATGGATGTGTGCATTCTTAGGCATTAGTACTTAGGTACTTACGAGTCAATAATATACTGGGAATGAAAGTTAGTATTTCATCCACCACCAAAGCTTGACAGTAACTTCTAACTCTGTCGCTGGGGTGTGGTTATAGTAATTCTGAAAATTTCGAGGAATTTTAATAAATCAACATATCAAATTAGATATTTCTCTATGAATATTAGTTAACTTGTCTCTTTTTTTAGACCGGCGAGCATCCCAGTTTAATTCAAGCCACTTTACCGGTCAAACCACAGCCTGTGGTTCAGACTGTAGTCCAGCAACCAGCACCCTCGCAGTCGCCATTGTCAGGCAATAAAGCACCGCCTGTTCAACCAGTTAGAGCACCAACACCACAGCAACAGCAACAACAACAACAAGTTTCGGTTGCTTCTGCCAACAACAAGCCAATTGGTTCCGATCCACCACCACTAGCGCAGTCCACACGCCCAACAATTGGCGTTCATCCACAGCAGCAACAGTTTCAACAGAATGAAACTGCAAATACGGGGGGCAATTCGTCATTGACAACAACTGCTGCGAGTGCATCTACAGTCGCTACAACAACTGCAGTTGCAGCATCAAATTCGAATACGCCGCCACCGCCATCAAACGTGGCTAGCACGTCGCAAACCCCAATACCCAAACCGACACTTCCCGTCCCCCTACTGCCCCAAGTGCAGTTGCCGCCAGGAGTGGTAGCGGGTGCAGCAGCAAATGCAACACCACCATTAGATCCTAACTGGCTTTTCGTTTGCGATTGGCGCAATTGTCCGCGCCGCAAGTATAAATCACTTAACGACTTGCAACATCATGCTTGCTCGCTGCATTGCCCTGACCACCTGGATCCCGCAGCGGAGATCTTTTGTCAATGGGGTGTGGGTCCTGGACTTTGCGATGGAATACCACGTAAACGATTTTCGCTGATGACACACATCATAGATCGACATTTGACGAACGAAAGTTTACGCGCCGCAATGCAACGACGAATTGCAACGGGCACGGTCAATCTGCAACCGTCGCAGCCGCCGGTAACAATCGTACGGAACGTAGAGGCTGCCCAAGCGCAGGCGCAACGCAACAATTCTTCCTCGCCAGCGCCATCGACTTCGTCCTCATCCTCAGGTTCACAGCCGACTGGCATTGGAAGTGCCACAGGCAGTTCAGCTTTGCACGCCATTAAGCGACATACGGCGGATTATGTTAATCCCAAGGAGTTAATGGACGAAAATGAAGGTCCGGTAACGAAAAGTATACGGCTAACCGCCGCTTTGATATTAAGGAATCTCGTTACATACACCAACACTGCAAAACGTGACTTGCGTCGTTACGAGCCGCATCTGTCCAATGTTGCTTTGAGCAATGTAGAATCTAGTGGCGCAGTTTCGCATATTTTATTTGAAATGAACAATTAATTTCATGTATCACTGGACCATATTCTGCAATTTTTACTAAACATTTTCTACATCTTTAAGTATGTACGGTACATAAGCATAAAATAACAAAGCATTTCTAACAGTTATTTTGATTTAACCATAAATTACGCCTTTCCGAGTTTACCAGGCTATCCTGGGTACATTTATACCTTATTAATTAAAAATAAATATTAAAGAAAATGGAATTTGTTTTATTAAGGACGCAAGTGCTTATGATGTATATAAAAGATTAAAAGGAAAATGTGTAATTGTCAAGTTCCTTATGGTAAATCCAAGTCCAATAAATTCTTTTTGAATGTCTGCAATGCATTTTCATATCTTTTCAACTTTTCGATGACTTCCAATTTTTCTTGTACATAATACTCTTTGGGCATTTGCACATACTCCTCACCCTTGAAAATAAAACACGTAACTGCTTTTGAGTCCACCAATGTGTCCGGGTCTATTTTCTGAGCTTCGGGTTGTGGAGTGCTTGGCTTTTTGTTTTGCAGTCGCAAGTGTTTAATGTGTTCCCCGTCTTCCTGCTTTCCGCTTCGATTCAATACTGCGGCACTGTTGTCGCTTTTTTCAACTTGAGCCATTATTTTCGACACTAGAGCTTTGGAGCTGGTAGGCTCCTGGTTGTCCTCTATGTCCGAATTTATTTTGCGTTTTTTAACATTTGGTTTGTAACCTTTAACAGCATCTTCTCTCGGCTCTGATTGAGTCACTACTTCTGTAATAGAAATATATATTTGTTTATCATATTTACGAACGTTTTCTTCGATCATTTTTACCAGACAATAGTTCTTCCTCAAAATCGCTGGCAACTTCATAATCTTCCAACATATCTGCTATGTGCTCGTCTGCTTCTTTCATGGTGGTCGATTCAACACAATATTCCGTGTCGCTTTGATTGTCCACTTTTTCATAATCTAGCATTCCATATTCAACGACATCTAAGCGTTCACTCTCCTTCAGTCTAATGAGCGCCGATTCATCATTTAAGTCTTGTATGGAAAATACCATTTCTGCATCCAATGCTTCATCTACTTTATCCATCGCTTCTTCACATTTCTTATCAATATTATCGTCACTATCTATGTCACTATTATCTCCACAATAAAAAAATGGTACCGCTGTGGTTGCTAGAATCGTTCGACGTGCATTTTTTATTATATACTTATTATCGAAATGGTCGGAACACATGAGCATATGTGATTCCGGCAATCCATCTGGCACTTTACCTCGTTTCATCCATTCCTCATATCGTCTCGGATCCTTGGGGAATCGAAAAATCGTGAATTCCTTATTGCCGCAAGGTACGTTATGATGTGTGTAATTATCGCAGCCTTTATATATGCACGTTTTAAAACCCATAGAAGAAAAAGTTTTACTCCTCTCGGAGGATGAGGCTACTTGTTATTGTGTCGATGTTGATTAAATTTACGGCAGTGGATTCTTTAAGAAATTTGTGCTACCAAAAAAGTAACTTCCTTACAAGGAGCTCTCCTCACAGCACCAAAGAATTTTCTGCATATTCCAAAGGCAATACAATAGGGGAATTCTCTGAGTCTTGCAAAGCCCTTACAAGGTGCACGGATTGCACGGTTTGCAAAGCAGTTTCATACGAAAACCGGTTTTAACCGTGCAATCCGAGCAATCTGTGAACCGTGCAAGGGCTTTGCAAGACTCTGAGAATACCCCTAATATTTTGACAGCACTCGGAGGATGTAAACAAATTTATTAGGCTGCGTTCAGACACGGAAAATCGACATGAACGAAAAACACAAGATCACGCACCAATGAAAGAAAGAAAAAAGTAATTTTCTAACTATCGAAATCTCGACGCCATCTTTGTTGTAAGAAGTAAACAACGAAGAGAACGAAGAAAACCGCTAAATTGTTGACCGCATGAATAATAATTTTTATTATACAAATTCTTCTATAAATCATGTCGTTGTGTTAAATTATTCTTTACCTTATTTGTACACACGTTGTCACAAGCGAATATGAAGAAACAAATGTAAACAAACGGCTAATGTCAAAATCGCCCAACTTTTTTCCTAAATGCGATTATAACGGACCACTGGTTTGCTGGCGTGATCTTGTATTTTTGGTTCATGGAAACTCGAGTTGCTTATTATCATGATACAAAAATTTAAAGGTATTTTCACTTCTTATTCGCCATTGCTCCCATTTGACATAAAACATGGACATAAACTGTGCTTTTGACATTTTATTTTAAATTGAAGCTACCATATCCTCCTCGGTCCTCGCGTGTAGCCCGCTGGACACTTTTTAAATGGACATATAATAAAAAATTTTAAATTTNTCATTTTATAACGAGTCTTTAGTGATTTATTTCTAAAATTAAATATAAAACGGAAGGTAATTAGTCGCCAAACTCACTCTGTTGTTGTTGTTGTAACAGCATACAAATTCCCCAAAGAGATTTTGGGGAGTGTTGCTGGAGTGGTGGCAGTCCTTGGCCAGATATATATCTATCTGGGTCGTTCCGGTTACGTAGACCCGACTGTCCTGGGAACGTATATATATTAATATCGATCTTTCATTTTGTTGTATTATTATAAAATTGGAAANAAAAAATGTCTGCCGACCTTCGTCCCGATAAGTATCGGCTAGAAAAGAAAAGAAACAAAGCCATTGCAAAAATGAAAAACCTAAATACAGATATTTTTCAATCTGGCAACCATTTCTGTATGTACCGTTACTAGTTGCTAGTTAGAAAATTTTTACGCACGATGTTTGAAAGCTCGTTTTTTTATTGTGTTTAATTGTCCGCGTTTCTGCCCAAATTCGAAATGGGACCAATAGATTTAAACTCTACTAAAACCGAACTTGAACTGGAAGAAAAGAAAAACAGCTCCGCCCAATATTTGCAGCAACACAAGTGGCTAGGAAAAGGTATTAAGCAGATTTACTTCGAGTACTGCGCCAACACTTCAATTCATGGCATTCAATACTTTGGGGAGCACCGCCCCTTAGTAGAGAAAATATTTTGGCTTTGTGTATTCTTGGCTTCAATATATTGCTGCTCAAATCTCATACTAAGCGTTTATATGAAATGGAATGAAACCCCTGTGATTGTGAGTTTTTCGGAAAAGTCTACACCTGTTTGGAGCATACCATTTCCGGCTATTACTATCTGTTGGAAACCAAGCGAGTCTCCAAAACAAGCGGTTTGTACACGAACGAAATTAATAGAATTTATAAAAATGAGCGAAAAATGTGGACCTAATATTGTGCTTTTATTCACAGGTGTCACTTATGCCCAATTCTTCAAAAGCTTACAAGAGCATGTTAAGGCGCGCCGGTTCTTTCAACCGAAAAATATCAGTGTTGCAGAGTTGGAAGAATTCCGTACACTTCTGCATATCTGCAATACTCAGCTTATCGAGCGTGGTACCCCTATTCTTTCCACAGATCTAATAGATTACTTTGGCGTATTGGATAAAATGCAGCCGGACTTCAGCCGATATTTCTTTTATTGCAAATGGTTTAGCCACTTTGGTGAATGCGATGAACTTTTCACCCGCTCATACACCGAAGAAGGTATTTGCTATACATTTAATGGTCTTAACGCCACCGATCTTTACCGCGAAAATACTTTTCAATATCAAAGAATGGGATTTCAGAACTTTTCTAAAAATATAATACTAAAACGTCCACTTAAGTGGTCATTGCAAGATGGTTATGCGATTGACAGTGGCATTAAATCGTATCCGGCGCGAGTTCTTGGTGCAGGAGCACGTGCCGGCCTTTTCATTGCACTACAAAGTTTTCGCTCAGAAGTTGACTACGCTTGCCGGGGCCCTATTCAAGGTTTTAAAGTATTGCTGCATTCCCCAGATGACGTGCCATTAGTTTCAAATCAGTTTGTGCGCATACCAATGGGCAAAGAGGTGCTCATTGCAGTTAAGCCTAACATGATAACCACATCGTCAGGTATTGCTGATTATATACCTCAAAGGCGTCAATGCTATTTAGAAAACGAGCGAACCTTGAAATTTTTTAAAGTGTATACCCAAAATAATTGCGCGCTAGAATGTTTGACAAATCTAACTCTAACTAAATGTGGTTGTGTCAAATTTTCGATGCCACGAACTTTGGATATGCCCGTTTGTGCGGAAAATAAAATCTTTTGTTATGATAAAGCGGAAGATATTCTATTACTACGTGAATTCCGTCAGGGTCTTAAGGAATCGCATTTGAATTATTTGGGTGCAACGGAATGCAATTGTCTACCGGCATGCACTTCGCTTGTATACAATACGGAGATATCACAGGGTGTTTAGCTGAGGGAGAGCGGGAGACCAGGTTTAAAGGTGACCATATATATTAATTGGGGGACTCCACTGGAGGAGTCGTGCTCTAGCTGCCGTAGGCTGCTGTGCAATGAGCTGGGATTTATT